TGTTGGAAAACACCGTCGCAATTCGTCTAGCGCGAAAAACCCCCGTGAATAATCGCGTCGAGCAAATTGTTTCTTGCGATCCATTGGGAATATCGGTATCTGCTCGTTCGCCCAATGATTCGTCCAACTCGATTTGGTAAACATCGTAAAAATAAACCTATCGAGTTCGTTTGTTACAATTGTGATTCGATTCCCTTTAGAGATGAACGAAAGACGGTGTAGTTAAAGGTAATGGAGAATCTTTTATAATATATGGAGTTTCGTATGATGGGGAAATTTGAGATGTTGATTGTATGAACACGAAAAGTAAGATTCCGTTATTTTCTCGTTAAAATTCGTGCACGTATGAATTGACAAATAAAATCGAATCTATAAATATGTCCACTGAAAATCCAATAACGCGAGAATTCAATGCAATTCGAATAAAATATTCCGATCAATATAAATATTATTATATTTATTTATTAGATGGTACTTACTTATAATTGTTCATCATAGAATATCATTTTATATATCTTATTTTATACATGATCGAAACTATATTTATTTATTAAATAAATATAGTTTTAAACGAAATAAACGTATCATCATATGGTTAGAAATCGACGTTTAAAATCATGGACATATTTAAAAAATAAATAAATAAATTAATTAATTGATGAATAAAATATCTGGCTAGAACAAAATATTTATCTTATCATCAAAGGAGGGAATAAAGAATAACTTGAAAAATTATCAAATATTCGTGAAAATATTCTATAATGCTAATTTTATGTTATCTATTTGATTTTGTTAGGAATTATGTTTTAGAAGGAAAAAAAATAGGATAAATTTAGTGGCTGTATAAAAGTTTTAATGTTTCCGGCAGGTAGATAAATATTGTCGCTTTAGTAAAATTCAAAAGTTGGAACGGTTTGTTTCTGTATTTTATTGCTTTGGACAAACATTTTTCTTTTATACCTTGATAAATAAATATCTGCATTGTTCTACTTTTAGTCTAAATATTCGAAATAATTTTCATCAGAATTATGAGAATATTAATATCATGAAATCATTTTAAGATAAATATCTTATGTATACTCGATAATTATGTCCAGATACTTTTTTTTTTTCTTTTATTATTCTAATCTTTCAAAAAATTTGAAAATATTCCAGCATATTTGAAAAAATCTACAGTCCTTGGTTGAGTCAAATTTTTACCGTAGAATTTTAAAATTTGTGTTAATAAAAAGCGTCCAATGTTTAAAACTTTAAAAAAAGGAATGAAAATTTTGAAAAAAATTCAACAACAAAATTTTGCCACTAATGGTTTACTCAGTTTGGCTACGGAAAATTACGCTCTTGTAGTTTCATTTAAAATACAAAACTAACATTATAATTTTATTATAATTCCAACTTTTGTTCTAAATTAATCTAAAGTTAAATATTCGCTAAAAATGTGGTTTTATACTGAAAAATCTACCATTTACGCTAAATTATGAAACAAAAATTTATAAATTCACAACCTATTTTAATATAAAAAAAAACAAACAAAGAAACAATTATCTATCTATTATTTTTAAAAATTATCAATTAAATATTATATTTAAAACTGCCTTCAAAATGAATTTTTTGAACAAAATAGAACAATTATCTAAAATTTCTTCACCGAAAAAATTCAATTTGTTCATATCACACGTGCACGATTGACAATATAATTTTCATACGATTTTTCAATTTAAACTTGATACAAACGAACGAATTTTCTTGTATATTTATTATTACCAACATTTTGATGATTTTATCCTATCAAATTTTATAATTCCTATGAAACGTTAAAGTTTTGGCTTTACAGCGATTGAAAATCAATTATCACTAGTCTTTGATGTGTTCCAGAAATATTCGCAAACTTTGTGATAACTATCCGACAACTCAAGTGCAAACAAAATCAATTGATCCGTATTGAGCTTTATATTCGCGAACACTGGCCGTTCTTGTCGATAAAATTGATCAAGATCGAGCTGCCGTCTCGGTTGGACGATCTATCAATGCCGCGTTAATTAATCAGGAAATCCGGGGCCGTTTGAACTTTGTGAAACGTTCAGCGCGAAGAACGAGTGCAACGTGTTGTATCACAGACTGATATTCATGCATTTCTCGACTCGAATCGAGCTTATTCTAGATACTTTTTGCCTGTGGATCGCAATCAGCTTCCTCGTTACGGTCGCTTTCCTCGAATTCACGAAATTCTGGAATTTAATAGATACGCGGGAATTTTGATTATTGAATCCACGAAGCGAAAGGTTCAAATATTTGACAGTTTAATTTTATTAATACGTTATAATATACGATAATATATTAATATGTTAACGCGATTTAATGTGATACAGAATTGACCAAGATACCGTTTCATTCTTAAAAGATACTTTTTGCTATCGCGTTCTGCTCAGAATATTTTGATATCTTCTTTCAACAAAATTTTGTTTAATAAAATACAGAGAGAATACAAGAAATAATGCACAATTACCCAAAGATATTAAATTTTGAAAGGACACCATCATTCAAATAAGAATTAAAATTTTTCAATTTTATTAGAAATCCTCGTTATCTAATTGTTCTAAAAATAATAAAAGTAGCCTCGCTCGATTTGAAATTCCTCTCCATTTCCGTGTCGAAATGTTTTTACGGCTACTAGGAAACCGAATCTCGCCTCTTGGGTTCAATGGCACGTATTAAAGGGGATTCGAAGGATTCGACGTGCAACCGGAAGCTCATAAACGAATTCGCTGGTTAGGCGAACGACGCGGTCATCAACAGTAAGCGGAAACGAGGGGAGAATGACAAGTATTCTTCTGTATGTCTTTCGCCGGCACGCAACGAAATTGCAAATTTTCACGATTGATCACGTGCCGGAAAGGCATCGCCCCCTAAACGTTAAATCTTTACGGATGGGCCAGTTAAATTGGAATCTTGCACGCTGTTCATTTCTCAATTATAGTTCACGACTTCTCTTTATAATCTATTCGTAAGCAGATTTCAAGAATTGTCTCACTTCGAAAAACGTTTTCTTTTTTCTTTTTATTCTATTCGTAATTATTTTAAAAAAGAAATTTAAAACATATTTTATTTAGTTTCTTGTTGCAATTTCAAAGGGAATTTTTAAAAATTAAATTGCTCGTATTTCTTGTAACATATATATTGAATCTTTTTCTTCGTTTCTCGAAATACAAATATTTCAAATTTGTGTTTCAATGAAATTGTCTTCCAAAAAAAAATAATGTGATTTTTGAAAATGATGCATCAATTTTTAATTTTACTGATAATTATTTCAGTGTACGAATTAATAAAACGAGGTATTTTAATAAATTGTTAAAAATAATTTGAAATATTAAGTTATGTTTACCCGATCTCGAATTAATCAGATATGGAGGGCAAATCAGTGTGCAAGATTCTTACGCGTTCACTGTGTAAATAAATTGTCAGTCGTAAACGTAGGTTAAAAGCAAACAGTGCTATCTAGATGTAATTAGACAAGAACAAAAGCTGTATTACTTGTAATGCGATACTTTATTAAAAATGAGATTGTTGCGAAAAAAAGAAGCGTTGTGTTAAATAAAGAGAGAAAAACAAAAAAGAAAAAAAGACGATCACGCTCACCCTCTCATGATTTTGAAATAGTTTTCAGTCAATTCGAAATTAGATTCAACCAAGTCGATTCTGGTGGACAAATTGTACAAACAAAATTCATTGATCTTAATTTTATAAACAAATATTGTAAAATCCGTGCGTCAATTTTAAAATTATTTTTCTCGTTAAAAATCGATATTTTAATACCATTCGAATATATCAATGTATAGAATGTTTATAAAAATGTGAAGCATCTTTTCAAAGTGAATTCTAGATATAAAATTCAAATAAACATATGTGTATTATAACGAATTATATTTTAAGTTCGAGTTAAATGAAGTGAAGTAGAATCAAAATTATCTTTCTCTATTTCCTATTTCCGCTTCGTTTAACGCAAACTTAAAATACAATTCGTTAACTTAACATATATAAACATTCTTTACCTGTTTTAACATTTAGAATCCATTTTTCAAAGTTGAATTTTGCATTTTTATAAACATCTTGTATATATAAAACTTCACAATTAAATTCGTTTACATTTAACAATTTATAAAATCACTGTTTCGTTCCAATCTCTCTCTTGATCACTTCGATTTGTTTACTCCTTTAAAATCCGATATAAAAAAAAAATTTATTTCATTTCACGATTTTTCAAAAAAATACGATAAAAATAAATAAAAAAAAAAAAATATCAATCGAACGATTTGTTACCAGCAACGGCAAAACTACATAATGAAAGGTTGAATCGCACTAAAAACGATCCATGGAGCAATTTAGACATGATACGAGGGATCAAGTTTTCGCTTGGTTCCGCATCAAGCGTCACGCCCACCATTTTCTTTCGTGGAGAATAGCGAGTGGAGTTTTTCTAGAACAAGAGGAACGAGAGAAAATGGTAAAAAGGAAAAAAAGAAAAATCGCGAACGCTTCACTTTTTATTCGTACGGCCTATTGTACGCGTCTAGACTGTATAAATGTACCATAGCAATAATTATTAACGACAACTGTAAATACATTTGGCGACGAATAATTTTTTCTCGCGAGTGCAAAGGTGTGTCGAGTGTGTGATCTCGCTGTTTTTGTAAGTGACCACGATCATCGTGTCATTTCGTGTGCGGCGTGTGTGTTACATGTTGCTTACGTGTACACAATCCACCCTTCAATCCACGTCCCTAAGAGCGACTCATTTATTATTATTATCATCGTCATCGTCATCATCATCGTCACCATCATCGTCATTATCATTATCATGTTGCCATCGTCCAATAATCGAGCAGATTGAATAGGTTCCCATGTGAAATAATTTGTAGAAATAATAGATTTTTTGACCGTCGAGAGGAAAACCTGGAATGGTTTTTCATATGTCAGTGACAGCTGTCCGAATAAATTTTCAACCAGTGCAAAAACTCTCTGTGGAATTGGTGCATGCGTGATTAATCGATGGTACACTAGTCTCC